CGATATCGAAATAAAGAAACGATAAGTTGAACGAGAATGTCTTTTCTCTTTTAATAATTCGGATCGTTTGAGAATAATGTAACGGTGTCTTTGTACTCTTCCGATGTGGTTGCGGTTTTGTATTTGACATAATCGTGTTTTCCATGAACACATGGATAATATACGATGATAATATCCGATCGTAGGAAACAGGAGATAATTATCTGTATAATAAATTCTCCCTAATTGACGCTCAGGTACACAAAAATGGACAATTTGGAAAGAGTTTCTATAATGGAGATAATGTAACGGTGTGTCCTCTCTCTCTCTCTCTCTCTCTCTCTCTCTCTCTCTCTCTCTCCTATTCTTCCGATGTTGTTGCGGTTTTCTATTTGACATAATCGTGTTTTCCATGAACACATGGATAATATACGATGATAATATCCGATCGTAGGAAACAGGAGATAATTATCTGTATAATAAATTCTCCCTAATTGACGCTCAGGTACACAAAAATGGACAAAAATGCACAAAAATGGACAATTTGGAAAGAGTTTTTATAATGAAGATAATGTAACGGTGTGTGTGTCCTCTCTCTCTCTCTCTCTCTCTCTCTCTCTCTCTCTCTCTCTCTCTCTCTCTCTATTCTTTCGATGTTGTTGCGGTTTTGTATTTGACATAATCGTGTTTTCCATGAACAGATGGATAATATCCGATGGTAATATCCGATCATAGGAAACAGGAGATAATTATGTATACAGTAAATTCTCCCTAATTGACGCTCAGGTTGTGCACAAAAATGGACAATTGGGGAAGAGTTTTTATTTTTATAATTTTTACCAATTGTCGACAACTGTAGAAACGAGCCGCAAGACTGGAATAATCGTTCCTCCTCTTCCCAAATTGTCCATTTTTGTTTGCAAGCTGAGCGTCAATTAGAGAGAATTTACTGTGCTTCGGTATTAACCTTGAATTCGTATAATAACCCCTTCGCGACTAAGAGAAACATTTTTCTCTATTTTAAAACTGGTGATTGTCGTATTTAATTATTGCTTATTTTCGGTGCAAAACGCAGTTTTCGATGCACACACAACATGCAAAAAGAGGAAAAAATGAAGAGATGAGCAAATTGTGCTAAACGCCGCATAGAAAATAGGACGCATAATATAGGTACTATGTGCAATATTCATCTTTGCTTCACAACCAAAAGAAATTGCCTCGCAGAATATCATAATTAGCACATCATTTTGTACAGTAATTTTCTTTCGCAATTCTCTATTATTTTAGTTAACATTTTGCCACAATAAACCAATAAATAAAAGACATTGCATAAATAATCCTAACCATAATTTGCGTCATCTTTACAGTCCATAGGAAAAAATATTTTCCATAAAATTCCAAAAGGAAACTGCACATTGTTGTGTATTTGTCTTACGATTTTTATTTATTTTACGTCGAGAAACAAACCAAAATAAACAGTAAACATACTACTAACGTTTACTTAATTTATCATTTCTCATTTCTCATTCCACTTCGTTTTTAACCACAGCACGACGAGAGCATCTTGCTTCTCCTTCGTAATTAACTTTTTTCTTTGAAAAAAACTTCGATTTCGTCGCTAATCAAAGAGATCCGCAGCACGAATCTGGTTAGTTCAGCGCAAATTGCCTAAAAAGAAAAGGGCATTATTTTTTAAGTGGACGTTGGGAAAGGAAATGCAATCTTTTTCTGGAGCATGTTCAAATTGAAGTAGAATTATTTTCCGGAACATGTTAAAACGAAAATGGAACGATTTCGTAGAGAATATGAGACAGAAAATTGCTCGGATGTGTTAAAAGGATATTAAAATCAGGGACGAGCCCGCGAATTACCGCAATAAAAAAAAAGCGCCGTCAGCGCGGCAGAATGATTCGCGAGGACGCTCGTTAAATTATCCCGTCTCTCGGGCGTCATCGTGCCCGCGTTGTCCCTCTCGACGACAGAACGACGGGGACGAGATGATGTCGACGAGCCGCGCTGTCATCGTTCCCGTGTTATTCTTCCCATCGTCGGCACCGTCTTCGTTTAGGCTCGCAGTCGCAATGCGTCTCGCGTCTCATTACCTCGTCCCTCGTTTGCTTTTTTTTTTCGTCTCGACATACTCGCCGGAGGATCGAGATCACTGCGGGATTACAATCGGCAGATGTAATCCGCAGTTTGACCCGCTCCACGTTCCTTGACCAATCCGCGATCGCGAATCGAATCGGCGGCGAACGTATCGCGACGAAGAAACGAGTCGAAGGGAACTGCGATCCGGAGTTTTCTTTACTAAGAGAGCATCCCGGTTTGGACTTCTCGAAACGGCTTCTCCACCGTGTGCTCTCTTATTTTTTTCATAACAGATTCATGTTTCCGTCTAAGAGACGCATTTTTCTCGAAACCTTGTTTTCTGATACGATCGACGCGATATCTCGATACCTGTTCGTACCGTTATGCTTCGAGATTTCAGGGTATATTCGACGGACTTGCTGCTATGAAACAACGTTCGTGATAAAGTTTGATTCTTTTTTCTCATTTTTTTATCATGACGAAAGCGACGCGAAAGCCTGAAAATCGAAACTCGTGCTTTTTTCGACATTTTTACCGGGAAACGTAACGGAGATATTTTCTAAACAAGTATTCTGTGCGAAAGTACGTGCATCGGGCAATTTATGGTGATATTTTTCTTGCAAAAGCTTAACACTTTGACGGCCGGAGGCACGTACACGTGAGCTCGCGAAATTTCGAATTATAAAAATCTATTAACCAAATTTGTCCTGTTTATATTATTAATAAGATATATAATAATTGCACTGTTAAAAAAACTGTATTATAATTACACTATTAATACTTTGACCGCCGCGATACCCACGCATGGGTAACAGAATTATTTAAAATTTAATTGTCGAAAAATAATTTCTTCGACAGTCGATTATAATTTCTTAATTTTATTAACATTCGCAAAGCGTAAGGACGTTCGAAAAGTAACGTATGCCACATGAATTTACTGTGCAATTTTTATTTCACCGCCTGAATGACACAGACACGCGCGCGCGCTCTTCTAGTAAGCGACGCAATGAATACAATTTATCAGAACTGAACGATTATGGTAAAAAGGCATTTTTTAAACGATTTTGCAACGGAAAAATTGCTGCAAGTTGCGCAACATATGTACTTTCGTACTCGCTTAGAAGAATGACTGCTGTTTTTCTCGGCGGAAAAGTGTCTAAAAATCAGTTTTCATCCGGATAGATAACCGTGACCGAACAATGGGCGATCGATGGATCGTTAATTTGAGGCTGGCTCGTCGGGAATTTGATGATCGAGCCATTGGAGGTTGGCGTGTTGCAGAAAGCGCCGTTTCATTGCTTTATTTCCGGTTCCGCTAATGACCGTGCGCGGTAAGAGGATTACAAAATAAACTGCACCTTGTACCGTGCTGAATGGCGACGCTGTAACTCTCTCACTCCTTCTCTCTCTCTCTTTCTCACTCTTTCTTTCCTTGTGTGCAGGTACACGGGGTGTTGAAAAATGACAAGCGCGTTCCTCGAGAGCGTCGACCACTCGACAAAGGAGTAACTCCAATTTCTGTAGTAATGGCGCTCTTTACTCCGAGAGAGATTACTATTCGCATCGATGTTCCGCCGCGGCGGCATTATCGAGGCATTCGTTTGACCTGATAACACGTATTTGTCGGGAATAATGAGAACGAAGAAGAAACGTAACGGCGAAAGCGCGCGGCGGGCGTCATTAGCGTGCACGAAGCGCGGCCATAAGCCGCTATTATCAGCCCTCTGATTAAATAATCCGTCAGTCGTGTTATTACTCGAAACTGGAGCCACTCGCGTCTCAAAGGTGCGCCGTGTCGTCGACGTGCCCCTTCTCATCAAAGCTTAAATAATTACGAAGCGAACAGATTTGAATTTATTACCGGCCTAATCCCGCTGCGCCCGTGATAGTAATCTCGGCAATCCCGCCGTCGGGACCGGCGACGTGACTCGCCGAGAAACGTGGACAAGATCCGGACGAAGTCGGAGGGTCCCGTCGAAATGGGATTTATTTTCAAATTTCGGGCACTGCCTTTATCGTCCGAACTTTTCGCACGACTGTACAACATTCACGTAATTCGCATATAATTAGCAAATTGATAATAAATTCGTAATCTAAAAAGAATCGAGTTTACTCAGATTTTCCAGGGGAAATACGCTAATGGAATTGCTAATAATTCAAATAAATTAAAAATTTCACAAGTGAAGATATAAATAATATAAAATTCTTCTTATTACGGTCGAAAGTTTCCGGATTAAGATAAGCACAGAATCTTTCGGATCCGTCGCATAGTTCTCGAGATAAAAATTCGTGATTTGGACTTGACTCGACGGCGATTAAACGCAAGCTTTAAAATTCGAAGCGTTTCAAAACTCTTCCGTGTATTAACTGGGTATTTATATTTCTATTTTTTTATTTATATTAATTTATTTATAGTTTTCTTCTACCGATTTTTAGTAGTTCTTGGCAAGAAATTGGAACATTCTTGAAAAAGAATGTACGCGAAATGCGTTGAATAACTCAGGCTGCAAATATCGTAGACATTTTGGTCGCACTGAGCGAGAAACAGCGAAACGATGACTTAAACTGTCGCTAATTTCCCATGTGTAACCTTCTCGATCAAATTTGCAATCTTTTAAATCGAGTACAGTAAATTCCCCCGAATTTTCCTTCAGCTTGTAAGCAAAAATGGAGAATTTAGAAAGAGAAGATACGATTATCCGAGCCTCGCGGCTCATTTTTACAGCTGCCGATTGTCAACAATTGTAAAAACGAGGTGTAATAATAAAACGAATAATCGTATCTCCTCTCTCCAAATTGTCCATTCCTGTTTACAAGCCGGAGGAAAATTCGGGAGAATTTACTGTACACGTTGTGCTCGTTGTTGCGAGAATTCTCCGCGAAGTTCAATGATTATTTGAAAGTGCGATTGAGTTTTCCTTTTCTGATTAAAGCAATAGCACAAGTGGCTCTGGGCAGTGTGGAGGGCTACCACGGGCTCGTCCTGGCGTCCGGACTCTACGGTGCTTCCCTCGGCGGCGCCCTGTACTCTCTGAAAATGCTTGCCCTCGAAAGATTGAGGACGAGACACTTCGCGCGGGCCTGGGCACTCGTGCAGGCTGCGGAGGCTCTACCTATTCTTCTCGGAGTTCCTCTAACCGGTAAACTCATTTACTTGGCACATTCGGATCCCAGACCCAGGCGGCCAAACCCCTTAACAGAAATCCTTAGCTGGATAAACAGAGGTAGTACTAGATACATAGAGGCAGTCGCAGTATCCAAACGTGGCCTAGATTCGCTTTGCAAAATGTTCCGTGCAACGTCCCAGCTTTGGAAAAGCAGCTAAGGTGGAGGCTATAAGGATTGTAGCTCGTAAGAGACAATCAGGATGGTGACTGCGATCTAGAGTTAATTTAGACATCTTTTAGGAAGTCTCGGAGCTGGCAACTGAATGGGTTGGAATCATGGTGGCGTAAGTCGCATTTTCCTCGTTGCGAGAAATAGGCAGTTTTATTGTCAACTAACGCATGATTATGTCAACTCGCGTTGTCAACTCGCGTTGTCAACTCATTGTTTACCGACCGAATTTATTGTTACGATAATTTAGAGTTAAGTCAACCCTTTGCACCCGGATGTCTCCGATACGGCGACGCAATTTATTCGTATCGAAGTGTGGCATCTCTTTTTAATTATTATTTTCCGTCATACTGTAAGGTGATCGCGTAAAATGCATAAATAAAGATACAAAATCCCTTATTTATCAGTTTCTATGTTTTCGAGCAGCATAATGATTTCTCTTTCAATTCGACTCTGTGCAACGAAATCTCGATGTTTGCAAAATCTGTTCCGAGTGCAAAGGGTTAATTCATAGTATAACTCAATAATTGATTTCGCCCATTCTTTTAACATCTTGGCATGTACAGATCACATTTTAGGACATATATAAATATTTTCGAAAATATCAATTTTGACCCACTCAAATTCATCGCGGAAGTTGCGAGGATGAAGACCGTTAGAATGGATCCTAGGAAGCCCTGTGTCCAACTTCGCACAGCTCGAGGAAGGCGACCAAGTCAAGGATCGCGTCACAGAACTAATTCATACCACCGCTTCAAACCTTGATCCTCTGTTACAGTGGACAAGGGACCAATGCGATCGATCATAATCCTTTTCGAAAGCCGTAGGTCCAACGTCGCAGCCCAAGAAAGGCAACCGAGTTATAAGGATCGCAACACAGAAGTGGTCCGCACCTCGGCTTCAACCCTCAATCATCTATTGCAGTAGACAAGAGACCAATTTTATCGACCATGACCACTTTAGTTAGCCCTAGGTCCAACTTCGCAGCTCGAATGTGGCGACCGAAGAAGGGTCATGACCCAGAACTAATGTGCAATCCGTGTTGAAACCTTGTATTCTTTATTATAGCGGACGAGGGACCGGTTTCATTGAGCCAAGACAAAAATCATGACCCAGAACTAATCCAGGATTCTGTTTCAAATTGTGCTAGGCAATAGATCAGTGTTATTAACCCTAGCACGCTTAAGGGAGGGTCAAAAATGTCCACAAAATTTTAAACCTGTATTGATGTACTAACAGGTACTGCAGGTATCAAAATGTATTGTTTAATGGTATTGTATAAATAAATGTACCTCGAACAGGAAAAGTACTGTCTCTTATACACATCTACACTAAGCCTAAAGTATCTAAAACCCTTAAAGTATCCAACGTATACAGGGTGTCCCATAATTAAGGAAATGGATGATTCTTGAGATCATTCAAAGGATCGAATTTTCGGTAAGGAAACAATTACTTCGAATGATCTCAAGAATCATCCATTTCCTTAATTATGGGACACCCCCTGTATACGCTGTCTCTTATACACATCTACACTAAGCCTAAAGTATCTAAAACCCTTAAAGTATCCAACGTATACAGGGTGTCCCATAATTAAGGAAATGGATGATTCTTGAGATCATTCAAAGGATCGAATTTTCGGTAAGGAAACAATTACTTCGAATGATCTCAAGAATCATCCATTTCCTTAATTATGGGACACCCCCTGTATACGCTGTCTCTTATACACATCTACACTAAGCCTAAAGTATCTAAAACCCTTAAAGTATCCAACGTATACAGGGTGTCCCATAATTAAGGAAATGGATGATTCTTGAGATCATTCAAAGGATCGAATTTTCGGTAAGGAAACAATTACTTCGAATGATCTCAAGAATCATCCATTTCCTTAATTATGGGACACCCCCTGTATACGCTGTCTCTTATACACATCTACACTAAGCCTAAAGTATCTAAAACCCTTAAAGTATCCAACGTATACAGGGTGTCCCATAATTAAGGAAATGGATGATTCTTGAGATCATTCAAAGGATCGAATTTTCGGTAAGGAAACAATTACTTCGAATGATCTCAAGAATCATCCATTTCCTTAATTATGGGACACCCCCTGTATACGCTGTCTCTTATACACATCTACACTAAGCCTAAAGTATCTAAAACCCTTAAAGTATCCAACGTATACAGGGTGTCCCATAATTAAGGAAATGGATGATTCTTGAGATCATTCAAAGGATCGAATTTTCGGTAAGGAAACAATTACTTCGAATGATCTCAAGAATCATCCATTTCCTTAATTATGGGACACCCCCTGTATACGCTGTCTCTTATACACATCTACACTAAGCCTAAAGTATCTAAAACCCTTAAAGTATCCAACGTATACAGGGTGTCCCATAATTAAGGAAATGGATGATTCTTGAGATCATTCAAAGGATCGAATTTTCGGTAAGGAAACAATTACTTCGAATGATCTCAAGAATCATCCATTTCCTTAATTATGGGACACCCCCTGTATACGCTGTCTCTTATACACATCTACACTAAGCCTAAAGTATCTAAAACCCTTAAAGTATCCAACGTATACAGGGTGTCCCATAATTAAGGAAATGGATGATTCTTGAGATCATTCAAAGGATCGAATTTTCGGTAAGGAAACAATTACTTCGAATGATCTCAAGAATCATCCATTTCCTTAATTATGGGACACCCCCTGTATACGCTGTCTCTTATACACATCTACACTAAGCCTAAAGTATCTAAAACCCTTAAAGTATCCAACGTATACAGGGTGTCCCATAATTAAGGAAATGGATGATTCTTGAGATCATTCAAAGGATCGAATTTTCGGTAAGGAAACAATTACTTCGAATGATCTCAAGAATCATCCATTTCCTTAATTATGGGACACCCCCTGTATACGCTGTCTCTTATACACATCTACACTAAGCCTAAAGTATCTAAAACCCTTAAAGTATCCAACGTATACAGGGTGTCCGATAATTAAGGAAATGGATGATTCTTGAGATCATTCAAAGGATCGAATTTTCGTGTTATTAACCCTAGCACGCTTAAGGGAGGATCAAAAATGTCGACAAAATTTTAAACCTGTATTGATGTACTAACAATGTTCATCGATCAATTTTTATACTGTTATTTCTGCAGGTATCAAAATGTATTGTTTAATGGTATTGTATAAATAAATGTACCTCGAACAGGAAAAGTAATATTTACAGCACTTCTTGCACGAATACAATATGACCTTCCCTCGAGCTGACCTTGAACCTTCTATTACCTTGACACTAAGCCTAAAGTATCTAAAACCCTTAAAATTTCCAACGTATACAGGGTGTCCCATAATTATGGAAATGGATGATTCTTGAAATCATTCGAAGGATCGAATTTTCGGTAAGGAAACAATTACTTCGAATGACCTCAGGAGTCACCTTTTTCCGGGTGTGAACATAATTATGAAACACCCTTGGTATCGATGAAAAGACTGTATTTATTTGAACCTTCCGCATCTTTTATCACAATGCATGCTTGAATAAAGAAATTGACCCAATCGTTTCATTCCAGAAAGAATCTTCAGAATTTCAACAATTTCAAATGAAAAATGTTACACCCGTCATTTGACCGACGATGGTGGATTTCGTGTTAAGCATCCTAGGGTCTTCAGACACCGCTGTATGCAACATTGCAGCTCAAGGATGGCAACCGAGTCGAAACTCACAGCATAGAACAAATTCTCATCCCTGTCACAAACTTCGAATTCTTTGTCAGTGTGAAATAAATCAATCTTAACCCTTTCGGTACGAGCGGCGGATATATCCGGCATCCATCCGATGACCAATATGGACGAGTGCCGAATACATCTGGCATCCATGTAAGCCATATTTCTGTAGGCCCTTTACAGAATGTTTACAGGAAACATTTAAAGAAAGATTTAGAAACGAATGAAGCACAGTCATTACTTAACGCTTAAGAAAATCTTCGTACAAAAGTGGACCGACCCTGCGTTATGTGCGCATTTTCGGCGCGGCACCCCGTACAGTGGGAGTGTCACGGCGGACAACGCGCTCGTACCGAAAGGGTTAAAGATCGTGGTCCTTTTCGAGTGCTCTAGGCCCAGTACAGCAGCCCGCACATCCGGCGAAACGAGTCCCAGAGTACCGATCTCAGAAAACGCCCTCCCCCTTTGTCCCTTCGAAAGGCTTCTATACAGAACTTCGCCAGCGACAGCTGCAGACTCTATCCTCCTCTCTTCCAGGTTACATGAACGCGTACATCCCGAGGGTGGGTTACTACGCGTGCATGTTAAGTTCCTTGTGCGGCGCGGCGTTGCTGTTCCTGGTCGGCTCGGGCCAGCAGCCAGCCTCGCCGACGGTGATGCCCGACTCGCATCTACCCACTTCGGCCGTGCCACCGATGCGCACCTGTCCACCCCCGCCGAGGCCCAGGCTGCCCAAGTCCCAGTCCCTCCACGTGCCCTTGAACATCGACGAGAGCCTGCGCGAGAGGGACATGAGCGAGAGGATGCACACTGCCGAACACTATTACCAGCCGCAGTTCTACGGGCCCATCAGACCCAGCAAGAGTGTGCCCGAGGGGCTGAGCCATCAGGACTCTTACAGGAGCCGGCCGAGGCGCCATCGCGACGTCACCGTGATCGAGCAGATCACCACGTGCGTTTAAAAGCCCGTACACGGTCAAGGCGGATCACGTTCGGAACTGAGAGCTGCGGGCTCCTCGGGAAGACAGGGATTAGGCTCGCGGTTCGGTTGAAGATAGAGGCCGGTTTTCACGAACCCGACGGGCAAGATGTGGCGGAGATGTGTCAGGATGTTGACCTGAATCTGTGGATCGTGCGCGTTTTCAGCGTGCAACGATCGTTGAAGCCGGACCTGGCCACGGATGGGATGACATTGTTTGGAATACTGTTTCAAAGAACGCGTTGTTTTTAGTTCGTAATTATTCCCACGCCTGTGATCACCGCGAACAGCATTGTTTGAGATATTGTTTTAAATAACGTGTTCTTTCGCGTTACAGTTATTTGATATATTGTTTTAGATCACGCGTTATCCTACTTTATAATTAACCGTTTGCACTCGAAGCCATTTTAACCGTAAATCTAAAATAATTCTTCCGATTTATAGTATTTGCATTTTGTGCACGTGAAATCGAGTCTCGCGACTCGTGCAACAGTTACGCTATTAAGAATTTTTTTCATTCGAACTTTGATAATATACAAATTACCTTGGAACGTGATGTAACAATTTTAGTGGTGCCTTGGGATCACCACTCGAGTGCAAAGGGTTAATTGAAATAATTATTTGAGATTAATCAAGGATGAGATCCTTGTTGGGAATCGTACGGTGATCTCGTCAACAACTTTGAGTCTGATTTGTACTGATATCTTCGTTGAGGTTTCTGCATGATAAAAGGACCGAAGCCACGTTTTTCTGAAGAACAACAGCTCTCGCATTAAATCATAATTAGATGGACTCGGACAAAAATCTCTTAAGAAGAATGAGCTTTGCGAGAAAACGGTCACATGCTCGAAAAGCAAAGTGCTTAATTACGCTGTCTACTATTATGCCTTACTATACTGTCCTCGATTCGAATTCGTTATTACATTCGTCGATGTCCGGCGAGACGATGCAAGCACAGGCAAAGTAATTGTCGCACGCTGTAAACGCCCAAGACCCACGGTTCAGCTTCGGGTGTACGACATCGAAAAGTCGATACCGTCGACAGGTTCGATTGTCGCGAGTCGGGGGCCGCGATGAACGGAGTTTCTCCCGAAACAAGCGCGCGAGCCGGCGAAAACATTTCAATTACGAGGAAACAAGGTCGGGGATCGATCGCCACAGTTCTTTCAGGGGGATCGTCGCCCGGCGGCCGCAAAATTCGTGATCTTCGGTGCACGCAATATCCGCGGAACAATGCGAGGAGCTATTATCGCGACACGGCATTCACGATACTCGGCGCGGATGGGTGACATCAAAATCGCGCGTCATCGGAAATTCGATTGAACCGGGGATCCCGCGGGCCGGGCCGGGTCGGGTCGGCTCGTCCCGGGCCGGATCCAGGGACGCGTGTCAACAGCATCGAGCCTCGTATAAGATTACCGCCGGTCAAACTACGGTGATTGCGTTCGGCCGCCGGTAAATTTTGCGTTTATGACCGGGCTGATGTTTGCCCGCGTCCCCAGCGACACCGGAGATCCTGGACAGCGTGAAAATCTCATCGAGCCGTGGTCAATTTGCCGGGAAACGTGGACAAAAAAAAGTGTACGCCTCGCGAAACTTAATTAACCCGGCGATTCCTCGAACAACCGCCCAGGTTCGAAATTTTTGATTATTAACGTTCAACCTACAGCGAGGTTTTCGATATCGGTTTCGGTTCTTGAAAATATTCATAACTTATTTTTCTTCTGTTACCGAATTTTATAAAAGTTATCCCGTTTTAAAAGGTGTTCGACGAGCTGTTTACTTCTGCTACATGCAACACGCGTGACTCGAACGTGAAATCCGTACCTTTAGTACCCAAATGTAAAATAGAACTATAATCGAAGTGCATAATCGAGATTCAACAAAAAAAATACGATTATAGAACGGTATAATATTTGTTCTCAAGAACCAAAATCGATATGCAGTAAATTCTTCCTAATTGACACACAGATTCTACACAAAAGGAAGAGGAGATACTATTATTCGAGCCTCGCAGCTCGTTTTTATAGTTTTATAGATTGTCATCAACTATAAAAACGAGCCTCCATTTTCGCGCACAATCTGTGCGTAAATTAGGGAGAATTTACTGTACCATATAATTGATCTGCTAATCTTTGAACAAAGTAGAAAATGTCTGCGTCAATTACAAGACATAGGAGTCGAGCATCTTTAATAATTTTAATAAACGATGCCTATACATTTACGACCCAAACGCGTAGAATTCCCATTTTACATATGGTTAGAGCCGACATAATAACGGTTTGAAACGGTTTATATTCGAAACCTTTGCAATCCTTAAATCACAACAAAAGTTCAACTTCTTGAAAAACTGAATAACAAAATTCAATTTATGAATTTCGTCCGTATTTTCGTCGGCAAATTGACCATTGTTCATCGGCCGCGCGAATGAATTCGCCCGAATTTTCAGCGTCGACGATTGCCGGCGAAACGAACAACACGCGGCCGAAACTATTGGATCCTCTTTCCATTTTTGCGGCGAGAAATAATTACGCGAAACTCGAACCCGCGTTACTGTCATCTATCGGTGCACCGACTTCGCGAATTATCCGTGGATCTCGATGGATTCGAGAATTACAAAGTGCAAAAGGATCTCGGAGAGTTGTCCTAGAGCTCGAGAGGTCAAGGAACTCGATCGCTGCCGCAACTGATATCAAAACTAGGGGCTCTGCGATAGATAACAGACTTTTCGGAACGGCGTTGATGACGCGATCTTGAAAGAAACCAGTCAAAAAATCAAAATACGAACGGAACATAATTACGAGACCCTAGGGAAATGAATCTTAGACTGTTGAAGTATCGTTAAGAGGATTTATGAGCCTCGTCGGTCGACCGACGAGGAGGATGGATATTAGTGTGTACGTAAACGGAATTTCTATAGTCTACAATTAAATTATCAGAGTAAGCTAGGGAAATACTTATCCGTGTTAATGGTTTCTTAGGCGCAATATTGCAGCGAGGGAAATATCAATCTATCCGCTATCCGGTTGGAACGATATTTTCAACCGGTGCAAAGAACGTTCGAGCCTTTCGGACAATCCCGATATTTGAACATATTATTTCGGCCGTTTCGATGCACCCGCGATTTTTCACGAGCACCCCGATAATGAACGGCAGATTATAAACCGTTCCCCCAAACGATCAGCTCCCGAAATCGTCGGGAGAGCACGATTGTTTTCTAGAATTCTCATATTCGTGAAATCGATCCACAGAAAACGAAACAGTCGCACGCGGATCGATACTTCCCTCCCACGTGTGTTCACGAAACGAATCAACTGGACTGCGAACGGTTTCCAAAAATGTTCTATATCGGTTGCAACATATTCGAACTGGAAAAAGTACTTGCTTCTTCCATTAACGCTTTGACTGCCACGCCAACGACCTCGAAATTTTCACAAAATCAACGCATTTTATTCGGTCAAATCGAAAGCGAAAATTTAACCCTTTGCGTTCGAGGCTATTTCAACTCCAAAATGAAAGCTTTTGTTTCAAGCTACAGTATTTCCATTCGGTATGGCTGTCTTTATTTGATGCATTGGAAATTAAACCTGTTTGCTCACAGAAAAATTCCATTTCTTGACAATTTATTTATATTATTATTATTAAAAATGGTACAGCAATTTATAGTGTAGGCACTCGCCGGTCGAGTGCAAAGGGTTAAGTTGTACGGCATCGATTACGTTTCCAATATCCTTACGTTTCGCGGATCTTAATAAAATTGATCAACGTGACAATTAATTTTCAAATATGAGCAGAATGATTCCATCGGCCATACTTGGGCGATCTGGCAGTCGAAGCGTTAACAATTTGAATATGTTGACGATAGTATATCGTTGCTCTCAAATTCGTTGAATCTCTTCACGATTTTATATCTCGTTTATTAATCGTTTTCTTCGAGAACGTTTCTCTAGTTCAATGTTCGCAGTTTAGGGACAACGCTTAGAACACGAAGGGGAAACGACAAGGCCGACAGCACTTCACGTTCGTGAGAAAGAGTTAAGTTTCTATAGTGAAAGATATATCGAAACTGGAGCTGGTCTCCAAGGATCGCCAAACGCGAATCGCTAGTCGAAAGTTCGTTTACGTTTAAGATACAGTAGAAACCTCGAAAGTAAGTACAACATAGGAACAATTTACGCGTATTAACGATACCGACGAAGGGCAGGGCGCGAACGAAACGGAGAATCAAAACGCCGGCGACCAAAGTATCACGGTCGAAACGATCTTTAATCTAGTCGACGAACTTTTTCTTTTCTGGTGTAACTCGTACGTACGTATAATCTGGAAGCTCAATTGTAGCCCCTGGTAGAGGGGCGATCGTCGTTTCGAACCACACACGAAGCTTCGAAGTCAGATTGTACGACCCCGCAAAACAATTAATCTACCTTTTAGCTGACTAAAAGATTCGCCCGGATTCGAACAGTACTTGCAATCGCTCGAATATTATCGTCTAAGAATTTTGACTGAAACACTCGAGTCGATCTTTAACCTTTGATTGGTGTTGTTGGACAATTTGCTCCGTTGAATCCACTCTCTCACGCGACAATTTAGAATTGCACCGAAACTGTTCCGCCGAGATCTTGGCTCTCCATCGCGTAGACGCGATCCCCCGAAAGGCGGTTCGAACGGAATCATACGCAGCACCAATTAAACGTTACAGCGTTGTTCTATTCCTATTAGCGTGTAAAAGCGTCATCCGAAGACTTCGATACGGGAACTGAGTCATCAAACGGTAAAATGATTAGTACCTGAATATTAAGTGTTCTAGGTTTACGCGACGCGCGAGGATCGTTCGATTGCCGAGCATCGTTTTTACACGATAGATTTTATTCGGGATTGATTTCGTTCGAGGATCAATTCTCGAAGGTGCATGATATCAAACACGGCGTCGCCGAGAACCGCTTTTGTTTTTTAGTCGTTTCTATACACACGATTTCTGCTCTTTGCTGTTGCTTCAATCACCGCTGTACTGTTCAAAACTTTCCCGATGATTGCCTTGTCGATCGCGCCGCGACGATTCCGGTCGCGAACGGGCGAAAGTAGGCTACTTTAACGGAAGTAGAGCACTTCCGGTCACGGGTGTATCACCTAGCATCTCGGAGAATTCGTTTTTTATATCTGACTCTCGATGTAGCTCTGATTTTTCGATGAATTTTCGAGGCCGCGACCGAGGGGATTCGTTCGATCGCTCGTCAGACCAAAATGGCGTCGAACCGGAGGGTCTCTTAACGAAAAGGATCGTCCGGATGTCACCGGAACTCGAGCTCACCGTGCGAAAGTTCTTAAGCATTCTTCTGTAATCGGTCGCTATTGCGAGAACGTATGTACAGTGACCCGCGAAAGTGTTCGTACACCTTTTAAAACGCAATAACTTTTTCAAAAACCGAGCTAAGCGACTTGAATTTTTTTCTTTTTAGATGAGAGCGGGACTAGTCTACCAGACGATGACCAAAATGCTCTTTTTTTAATTTTGCTATTACTTGGAGTGACAAAAAAAATAA